ACCCCCCTGTCCTGCCGGGTTCGGATAAAACCCCCCTGTCCCGCCGGGGCCTCCGCAGCATCCCTGAGCATCCCCTGGCACGGCGGAGGCCGGGCAGGGCACAGGTGGAGCTGCCAACCCCAGATCTGTGATCCTGCTGACAGCAGCGACCCCGGCACCGCCACCCTGCCCTCGGGGACACCGCGGGGACACGGGGACAGCGGGCAGGACACCCCGCTCCAGCCGGGATAATGGGGGGGGGGGTCTCTGCCCCGCCTGCACCCTCCAGGGCCGGGAACGGACAGACCGTGCCCGGTGACCCGGGGAGGAGCCGAGGGGATCCCGGCGCTCCGGAGGGGACGGGAGGGGAGGGGACGGGAGGGGAGGGGAGGATGGGACGGCGCTGTCCGGGGCTGTACCGGGGCCGAGGGCTCAGGCCCAGCCCGGCCCCATGCACTCACCCGCGGGCTGCCCGGGCTCGGCCGGCGGCGGAACGAGSAGSAGGAGSARSARSAGGAGGAGGAGGCGGCAGGAGCGGGTCCGAGCCCCGGCCATGGCGCTCCCGGCCCGCATCGCCCCTCCCGGAGCGCGCTGGGTCCGGCCCGCGGCCCCGCGGCCTTATGGAACCGGGCACGGCCTGCGCTGCACCGCCCCGGGGAGGAGCCCGCCACCGCCCGCCCCGGAACGGCACGGCATGGGCCCGGTATGGCCCCGGCATGGCACGGAACAGCCCCGGAACGGCCCCGGAACGGCACGGAACGGCACGGAACGGCCCCGGTATGGCACCTACAGCCCACCCCGACCGCCCCGGAACGGCACGGCATGGCACGGAACAGCACCGGAACGGCCCCGGTACAGCCCCGGAACGGCACGGCACGGCACGGAACGGCCCCGGTATGGCACGGAACGCCACGGCACGGCACCTACAGCCCGCCCCGACCGCCCCGGAACGGCCCCGGTACAACCCCGGTACGGCCCCGGTACGGCCCCGGAATGGCCCCGACCCCGGAACGGCTCAGGTGGAACAGCCTCAACCTTCGCAGTGCTTTTTTGGATTAAAAACAACCAATTCCGACAAGCGATGGGGTCCCGCAGCAAACGCCCGCTGGTGTCAGCGCAGACCGCGGCCAGCGCGGTTCTGATCGCCTTTCCGGCCAAAAAACTGCACTGCAAATCAAACCACAGAATATCCTGASCTGTCAGAGCTCTGCATCATCCTCCAGAAAACCAGGAACACACAAAGTGACAGATCCGTCACATTAGAAGCAAGCAATGGTGACACAGAACAATATCCAGGCTAAAGGAGCCCCGACAAACACAACATTGGGGTTTTCCATCTCAATCCCTACAGGAACTGCACACAGCTCTTGGATCAGGGAATGACTGCCCTGTGCTTGGGCATTACCAGAGATTCAGAAAACTCCTTATGGATTCTGATAACAGCATGGATCACATCGGACACCTCTGTGCAAATAATGCACAAATGTGAATCATCCATCCTGTGGTTCCTGTCCGAGGGCTGTGAGTTCCAGGTTGAAGCCAGAGCCGTATCCCCCTGCCTTGGCTTCTCCCATCACTCAGCACCGCAAGGAACTGTAAATACACCCCAAGGCTCCGGACACAACTGCTGGGGAACTTCAGAGCACAGTTCTGGTCAAAATAAACCCCTGCTCCGCTGCTCAGCCTGGGAAACACCCGGACACCATCACCAGGAACAGTGGGATCTGCTCTGGGAGAAGAACCAGCTAAAACCAATAAATCCTTGAAGCCACAAGTGAGACCTGAGAACTGAGCGCCGGAGGATTAGAGTTGGTCACTGGCTCCAGCATGGACTTTGTGACKTGAATAAAGCACAACCAGAAAACCCATTGCAGTGAGATTTCCTGACATCCAAGCACTGACATTTTATCCCTCCCGCGGCTGAGACAGGAGCGATTGTCCCCTAAATTGACACAAAGAGCAGACACGGAGAGTGGCTCAGTGGAGTCAGTTTACTGTGGAAAAGAGCACAAATGGACCCCAATTTCCAATTTCCACAGGGCGGGGTGATCGCCCCGAGCCCCGCAGCGCCATGACAACGCCACGCGCGCTCAGCGCCCCGCCCCTCACCTTCTCCCATTGGCTGACAGCCCGCCCCGACAGCCAATCGCGTCCTCGCCCGCCGCGCCCCCGCGCTGCCGCTTCCTCAGCTCCTTCCGCCTCGGCTGTGATTGGCTGCGAGCGGCTTTTACCCGGCCCGGCCGGCGGCGGCGGGGTCTTATTGGCTGCGGGCGGCGCGGCGGCGGGCGCTCATTGGCTGCGGGCGCAGGGCGGCGGGCGCTGATTGGCTGCGGGCGCTGATTGGCTGCGGGCGCTGATTGGCTGCGGGCGCTCATTGGCTGCGGGCGCGGGGCGGCGGGCGCTCATTGGCTGCGGGGGGCGCGGCGGGCTCTGATTGGCTGCGGGCGGCGCGGCGGCGGGCGCTCATTGGCTGCGGGCGCAGGGCGGCGGGCGCTGATTGGCTGCGGGCGCTGATTGGCTGCGGGCGGGCGGCGGCGGGCGCTCATTGGCTGCGGGCGCTCATTGGCTGCGGCGCGGGGCGGCGGGCGCTGATTGGCTGCGGCGGTGCGGCGGCAGGCGCTCATTGGCTGCGGGCGGGCGGCGGCGGGCGCTCATTGGCTACGGGCGGCGCGGCGGCGGGCGCTCATTGGCTGCGGGCGTAGGGCGGCGCGCGCTGATTGGCTGCGGGCGCGCGGCCCGGAAGGAGCGGTGCCGCCATGGCGCCGCCCGTGGGGTACGCGCTGCTGTGCGGGCAGGCCGCGCTCCTGCTGGGGAATCTGCTGCTGCTGCACGGCCGCGGCCTCCCCGGCAACGACACCGAGCCCCACCGGGAGCTGCCCCCGGGGCCGCCCGCCGCCGCCTGGGCCTACAGCGACCCGCGGGCGCCGCTCGTCCTGTGCACGTACCTGTGAGCGCCGGGCCGGGGCGGGTGCGGGCGCGGCCGCGCTGCCGCCCTCACCCCCCGCTCCTCCCCGCAGCCCCGAGGAGTTCGTGGAGTGCGAGGAGCCGGTGGATCACGGCGGGAACGCCACGGCCCAGCAGGAGCTGGGGCACGGCTGCGTGAAGGTGAGGGGGAGCGGGGCGGGGAGGCGGCCCCGCTGCCGGTGCTGCCGGTGCTGCCGGTGCTGCCGGTGCTGCCGGTGCTGCCGGGCCCTGCGGAGCCCCCCTGAGCTCTCCCCCGCCGCAGTTCGGCGGCCAGGCCCACGGCGAGGTGGATCACACGCGGGTGCAGTGCCGGGCGCTGGACGGCATCGAGTGCGCCGAGCCGCGGAGCTTCCTGCGGGGCAGCCGGCCCTGTGTCAAGTAGGAGGGTCCCTGTCCCCAGAGCCGCTGGACGGAGCCCGAGGAGCGGGGCTGGTCCGGGGGCACGGCTGACACCCCCTGACCCCGCCGCATCTCCCCACAGGTACACCGGACACTACTTCATCACCACCCTGCTCTACTCCTTCTTCCTGGGCTGCTTCGGCGTGGATCGCTTCTGCCTGGGCCACACGGGCACTGCCGTGGGCAAGCTGCTGACCCTGGGGGGCCTGGGCATCTGGTGGTTCGTGGATCTGATTCTGCTCATCACGGGCGGGCTGATGCCCAGCGATGGCAGCAAYTGGTGCACCGTGTACTGAGCGAGGGCAGGGCTGGCCCGGCTGCAGCTCTGGAGATCTCTGCTCGCCCCAAGCAAAGCCCTGGCACAGGGTGGACTCACAAAACTGTTACTCAGTGTGCAGAACAGTTACTCTTGATAATGACTCTGTACCAGCCTTGGACACAAAGTTATGCAGGATATATTTTGCTTGTTTAAAATAATCTGGCTTCCCCCTGCAGATAGCGACAGCTTAAGGAATCAGACGTTACAAACACAGAGGGTCAAACAAACCTTAATAAAATCTGGAAGAAGCTGACTCCACGTGCTTTGGGGATTAGCAGAGTGACAGCCACACAGAGCTGAAGGCCACAGGGTCAGGCCCTGAGCCCCCTGGGCAGCCCGTTAGTCCTGAGCCCGGGGGTCATGGGCCACCATGGGCCACCACGGGTCACCCAGGGCCTGAAGCCGTTAAGGCTGAGTAGCCCTTAGAGGGGCAAAGCCATGAGCACCCTGTTCACCCCTTCAGGGGAATCTGGATTAGGTTTGGCACAACCTGCACCCTCCAGAGAACGTTCCTTGCCCCACTCTTGCAGGTGGGAAGCTCGGACCTGTCCAAAGCAGCACTTGTCACTCATGACAGGGTTCATTTCTCCCCAGAGCTGTTGGGAACACGTGGGAGCACTCAGAGCTGAGAAGGGGCCGTGTGTGCCAGGCAGCTCCCTGCCTCCAAACCCAGCACAGGGTGCAAGAACTTCACACCCAAAAGAGGAAGCCCCACCAGCTGCAGGCTGAAACCTTAACAAGCTGAATAAAAATGGGAAAAGGAAGCTGCAGCAAGTCCCAGCCAGRGCCAGACACAAAATCTGTATGCAAATGTCTGGTCACATTTGAGATAAAACCACAGGCACACTCAGTCTCACACAGATCTGCAGGCTGAGCTCCCTCCAGCCCTTTGGCCACTTTGTGCCCGTGGTGCTGCCCTGGCCTGCCTGGTGCTCGGTGTGGGTGGGAAATCTGCTTGTTCTGCTTTGGGTTTGTGGCAATTGCACCAATTCCTCTCTGGGGAGGGCGTGCTGTGTCCCCACTGGGTCACCAGTGTTCTGAGTTTAACAGCTTTGTCCTGAAAATGCTGTTCCTTGGCAGAACAACAGGGCTGAAAAATCCACGGAGGGGAAAACATTTCRCAGTGACCCAGAAAGAAGAAAACAATAATCCATGTGCAAAAGCCCACGGTCATGAACAGCCCSCAGTGCCAGCTCCCAGCAGGACCTTGCTCCAGCAGTTCCCTCCTCCCCAGGGAACACGGGGACCTTGGTCCAGAAAGGCAGGAGGTTGTGATGGCCCTGCCCTCACCTCACACTGCCCTCCCCCAGCCCTGAGCCCCTCCCTGGTGCAGGGGGTGCAGCAGCACCTTGAGCATTGGGGGCACCCACAATGATCCTGAGAGCTCCYCACCCTGCTGGGAACAGCATTCAACCCCTACCCAAAACATCCCGGGCAAATGGACAGGCTGGGAAGGCAATTGGGATTTCCTTCTTTATTTAAAACCACAGGGAAGAAAGGGCATTCCAGCATTCACAGGCCAGGGGTGGGGGCAGGTAGCCCATACCCCRGGAATCATGGAGCATTGCCTGAGCGAGGGCCCTGGCCCTAAGAGCACTTGAAATCCCCAGCCAGCACTTGCAGAAACGTCTGGAACAATGTGGGAATGCCACTGGAACAGAGCAAACCCCTCTCTGCCACCCCTCTGCCCCTGCAAGGCACCCCAAATCTACAGCACCCCCAGCAAACCCCACAGCACAGGCTCCAGGAGGAGCAGCTCTGGGGGATGTGTCCATCTGTCCCTCCTGAGAGCTGAGGGGACACCAGTTCCCTTTAAAATAACCCCAAAGCTCATCAGGGTCTGGCTGCATCCACCCAGTCCTTTGGAACAGAGGGAAATCCCTCCCTGCCAGCACCACCTGCATCATGGACGGCTCTGGAGCCCCCTGAGCTTCACATCTGCCTGAACCTCCCCTTCAGCCTTGGTGCTGTCCTGGGGATGCAGGAGGGTGCAAAGGAACAAAAGGAATGTTGCAATAAATACTGGAGCCACTGGAAGTTTCTGCTCCTGGATAATTAACCTTAATTGTGCAACAAGCCTCTGYTTTACCATCCCAGGACTGAGGAAACTGCACAATTACCAAGCACCAGGAACACTCAGGACTCTGATTCCAGGCTTTGCACAAAGGAGCCGTGATCCCTCTGCATTCCCTGCTCTCCAAAACTGAGCTCAGAGCGCTGTTACCAAACGCTGGGACTCTCATGGAAGGGCTTACCAAACCAGTAAAACATTCCTGCAAGTGCTAGGAGCCAAACAGCAAGTCAGCCTAAAAAAATGAAAGGTTTCGAACTCTAGTGCAAACGAAGCAAAAAGGAGGCAGAAAAAGGAACAGCAGGATCTATGTTGCTACAATTAAGTAACGCTAACGCTCGCCTGTACCGTTTGCATGGATTCCCACTCATTTTCATGGTCCCTGTGTTCTCCAGCACCTCCACACAATCCCCTGTGAGCCCCTCTTGCACTCACGGGACCCATTCCTGCCTCCCCAGCTGCACAAAGGCACAGCCCCAAAGCACCCCACGGGTCCCACCGAGGATGGAGGCAGGAAGGAACAATTCCAATCACATCAAGGTCAGTGGGGCTGATGGAGGCTCAGAGCTGCACCTCACAACTGTCAAACAGCTGGAGGCCCCAAAAGGGCTGGGACAAAGCAGATGTTCTGCTCTGGGGAGCACACGGGGCTGAGTTTGCAGAGCACAGGATGTGTCACAGCCAGTGAAGTGAAAGGGATGCCAAGCTCTGCTCAGCACCCAGGGATTGCACACACTTTCAGGATATCAGACAATCTCTCTGCCGAGGGAACACCTGCATTTTCTACACACTATTTATCACACCTACAGGAGCTCATTTGGTTATGGAAATGACGATTCACATTGCTCTAGAAACTCCTGCTGGTTTCCATCTCGGGCAGGCAGCAGCAGAGTTGGCTGGACAAGTCTGCCCAGTTCCATCAGGAGCTCRGTTTTCGGTGCTTTTTGCTGAAAGCTTTTCACCATCCCTGTGCCCAGGAGTGCAGTGCAGAACCGACWCCGTACCTGAGGATGCTCCAGCCTGGGAGCCACCACTGCTCCAGCAGCTGTCCCTGCTCGGGCTCAGGATGTACCAAAAAACCTTCAGTGGCTGAGAACCTGCCCAGGCTGGGGGTCAACAGGAGCCACAGGTATAAAAAAACGTAATTAAAAGCCAGCAGATTGCTGATAAACCCCTGTGTGGGCAGTGAGGAATCAGTCACTGTAAGGGGAAGTTGCAGTGAGTCCGTGTGGGCAGCGTCTGCCCTGGGGAGTCTGAGCAGCATCAAAGGGGACAGAAACATTTGTCAAACACAAGAAAGGCCACAGTCCCCTCCTGCCGCTTCCTCCAGACCTGGTTTTGGGGGGAAATCACGCATTGCAGAAGGTGTCCCCTCATACAGTCCCCAGCATCTCCTGCCCTGCACAGCGAGTGCCAAAAACACAGAACCAAGGCTGGGCAGGAGCAGCCAGGGCAGAGCAGGGCACAGGACGTGGCTCCAGACGGATCCTGTGTCACAGGGCAGGGACACTCACACACCCCAAACAGCCCCACAGGCATGTGGAGCCGGGGCTGGCTCAGTGCCCCTCACACGTCCGAGGTCCGGATGCTTTCATCGTCCAGGTCGAAGGTGAACGGTTTCTCCTTGAGCTGCTGCGGCTCCGAGCGGTGCCGCAGGCGGGGACCAGACCCGGCTCTGCCATGGGGCCCCGTGAGGGACGGGCCCGGGGCCGGGTCTGCCAGGGGGATCGGGGCTGGGTGATCACCCAGAGCCTGCTGTTCACCCTCTGGCCTCGGCACGGGTGTCCAGGGCTGCCATGTGGAGCTGCACGGGGCTCTGCACAGCGCTCTCCGCTCCTCCGGCCGCTGCCGGGCGGGCACTGCTGAACCCCCGGGCCGGGCTGGGAATGGGGATCTGACAAAGGACATCTCCTGCAAGAGTGACACAGAGAGGCTGCTCAGAGAGTGCACTCAGTGCACACCTTGTGCATCGAATCGCCTCCATTTGGCTGTAAATGTGAAACAGGAGGTCCATGACCTACCCTGGGGCGGGTTTTGAGCGCCTGCAGTGCTGCGGTGATGGCGCGGATCCAGCTGTGCATGTCCTCGGGACTGTCTGCCTGCAAACACAGCCCCGTGAGGACAGC